CCCAAGGTAACGGCGGCACCGCAATACGCATAACAAGTGGGAAAATTTTGTAAAGTAACCCGGGTCAAAGTTATGGCATATAGGACTCTTTTTCTATCATTATCAGTTTTCTCGAAAATAAACAGATTCATGCAAAATAGCTAAATTAAATAAATGTTATTCTTGATATTAGCAAATAAGCCTTAAAGCAGGGGAAGCTTTGTTTATAAACTAATAAGATGACTTATGCAGGTGAAGAGTCATATAATTTTTTAAAGCCTAGACCAATTTCTATTTGATGCATGTGCATCATATAAATCAACAAACTGCGAAAAAATAGCTCAAACAATATCAAACTCGAATAATTGATACATTAAAATGACATGTCAAATTATTTTATATTTTCCATAAGACTATTTTAACATATAATTAATGATTTGTTTTCAATTATTTAACAGGTCGAGACCACTCGATTTTCTGACGTCTGCATAAATTTGCATGTAAATTAGCTACCTGTTAACTTTACCTAATGCTGAATGAGCCGCAATGCATTGTGGGCTAAGTACAAATACCCAGCTGTGTTGTCAATAAAAGGCGACTTGAATTGTCCCTTGGAAACTTATTAGGTCTTTCCACCTTTCTGTGGAAAGACCTATTGATTTTCTTCTGTTTCTTATTATTAGGTCTTTCCACCTTTCTGTGGAAAGACCTCTTGAAATGCTTCTGTTTTTTATTTTATTTCTCACCTTATGTTTTGACACCGTAAGACTTATTGAAAAACTTTATAGTTCATGATACTGGATATTTAAAGTTATTTCAAAAAACGACCCCCCATGTTTTAACTTAGACCCCTTATGCAGTTATTGCCCCTTTCACCGTAAAGCTTGTTATCGCCACTCCTCCGAAACCGTAAATCGTAGAGATGCAGAACCTTCACTAACGTCTTCAACTAGTTTAGGAGACTTTTCAATCTATTCATTGCGAAAGTTTTCTTTGACCCCTTCAATGAGTAACTGCCCCTGAAAGTTTATAAATTTTATAAAAAACTAAAAATTTTCAAAACGAGAAGTCGTAGAGATATGAAACCAACTGCATAAGTTTTATTGACCTTTGACCTTCAAATTCATTTCAAGGTCAAAGTTCAAGGTCATTCCAGTTATGAGGAATAAATTTCTTTTAATAGCTCTCATATCCTTAAACATATACAATCTATCTTCTTCTGTGATATGCACTCTTAATACTCTTTCGAAGATTTTATTCCTGTCCCCCAAGATTGACCCTTTTAAAAGTTATTGCCCCTTGTGCAAAAAACCTTGTTATCGCTACTCCTCCGAAACCATAGACCGTAGAGACACCAAATTTTCACTAATGTCTTAAGGGTCTTCACGCCTAACTTCACTGTATAAGTGCAAAAAAATCTGATGAACCCGTATATGAGTTATTGCCCTTTAACGTCTTTCTACTTAATATTAAACCTCTTAACTTGAAAAGTATAAGTCGTAGAGTCATGGGGTCAATTGCATTATGACCCTTGACCTTTGACCTTGAATATTTTTAAGGTCAAAGGTCAAGGTCATTTCAATTTTTTTGAAATTTTCTTTTTTTTATTTATCCTTTTAAAGAATTTTGTTTTCTTATTCATGGAATTTAATTTTAAGGAGTCAGATATAAAACAAAATTGAAATTCAAAGAAGGTGGAAAGACCTCTTATTGTTCTTTGAACAATAAGTCTCCTAGTTCTTCTTCTTTATTTTTCTTCCGCTGATTTTTTGTTTCGACATTTATCGAAGACTTTTTGTTCATCGTAAAGGTCATTAAAAGTTAGGAACAAATTTGACCCAACGCCTATGAACTATGACCCCTTTCGAAGTTATTGCCCCTTTCGCAAGAAATGCTTGTTATCACTACTCCTCCAAAACCATAAACCATAGAAGAATGAAACCTTCACTAATGTTTTCGACTAATTGAGAGGACTCTGGAATCTATTCATTGCAAAAGTATTCGGTGACCCCTTTAATGAGTTATAGCCCCTGAAACTTTTTGAATTTTACAAAAAAATGAAAATTTTCAAAACGAGAAGTGTTAGGGACATGGGACCAACTGCATAAGATTCATTGACCTTTGGCCATAAAATTTATGCAAAGGTCAAAGGTCAAGGTCAGTCCAAAAATGAGAAATTAAGCTCTTTTTATATCTCTTTTGTCTTTTGACATATACTTATTGTATTTGCATCATTAATATGTACTCTTAAAACTATTTCAAATATTTCATTCTTGACCCCTTAGATTAACCCTTTTAATAGTTCTTGCCCTTTGTGCAAAAAACCTTGTAATCACTACTCCTCGATAACTGTAGATTGCAGAGACACAAAACCTTCACTAATGTCTAAAGGATCTTTATGCATAACTTTACAATAGAAGTGCAAAAGGATCTGATGACCCCTTAAATGAATTATCACCCTTTAACGTCTTTGTACTTACTATTAAACCTTATAACTTGAAAACTATAAGTTGTAGAAGCATGGGGTCAATTGCATTGTGACTCTTGACCTATGACCTTGAAAATTTTTTCAAGGTCAAAGGTCAAGGTCATTTCTTTTTTTTTTCTTTATTTTTGCTATCCTTTAAGTCAATTTTGGTTTCTTATTCATGGAATTTAATTTTAAGGAGTCAGATAAGAAACAAAATTAAAATTCAAAGAAGGTGGAAAGACCTCTTATTGTTCTGTGAACAATAAGTCTCCTAGTTATCAATTCTTTTTTTAGATTTGTAAAGGAAATATTTAAAATGATGTATAATCTTTCATTTCTATGCTCACATTTACAAAATTTGCTTTATGAAGCCTTATATCAACTTATAATACATCGACCTAAACCATTGTACAAAGAGACGAAGGTGCTATCGTGTCGATAAAACACGGAGTGTTTTTTCACGTGATATACGTGTACATAGTTTCAGCAGGTACTATATGGGTCCTTCGATTTAGACAGCAGGAAAAGGTGTGCAATTATTATTAAACCCCTCAATATTATCAGAAAGTTTTTTATGTGCATGCAAACGTCAAAGCGTTTGTACGGTATTCGAAGCAATTATTAATCATCTAAAACAACTCCAATATTAAATGTGAACATGGAGCAATATCTTTAGAATATAATCTTTCAATTTCAGTCTTATAAAGTGATAATGAAGCTCTACAGTTTTTCCGGTAACGAGTTAAATATTGCACAGTAAACCACCGAAAACCACGTTTTGCCATTGAATCGTAAACAAATTGATAAACACGTATTAGACTGTCATGCTTTGGGACTCATTCATTTGATTGGAGAACGGGTGTGACGAAGACATCGTCACTTGTCGAAATTTGCATTCCATATAAGGTAGTGGTCTCGACCTGTTTAAGCTTGCTCATCAAATGGCAAAATAAAACGGTAAAAGTGTAACATTTGGGATTTTCAGATTTTTCTACTGACGGATGGACAAGTTACAAACATCCCAGAAATAGTCAAATTAGTGAAAAAGCAGAAAAATACTAGGTTTCATTTTTCTATTTTCTCCCTATCAGTTGATTATTTTTTAAAAATGTTATGTTTAAATTGCTATAACATTTCTCTTATTATTTTCCTATCTCATTCTTAATGTCATCACCAACGTTTAATATATTTGGCAATGTTTTTAATTAAAAGCTTAAATATTAAACAATGAAAATATTTATTGCTCTTGTTTTGGATTTATCACCCACAAGAGTTTTTTGCTTATAAGAGCTGAAAGCTCAAGTGAGTTTTTCTGATCACTCGTTGTCCGTTGTCCGTCTGCAAACTTTTCACATTTTCGACTTCTTCTCAAAAACTACTTGGCCAATTTTAACCAAACGTGGTACAAAGCATCCTCCATGGGTGAGGGGGAGTTTAAATTGTTTTGATTACTTAATGAAGGGTGGGGCCATTAAAAAATCTTCTTCTCAAGGACCACAGGGCAAGAAAAGCTGAAACTTATTTGGAAGCATCCTGGGGTAGAGTAGATTTTAAATTGTTCAAATCATGACCCAGAGGGTAGGCGGGGTCTCAATAGGGAATCAAGATTTACACAGAAACATATAAGGAAAAAAAAAATCTTCTCAAGGACCACTGGACTAGAAAAGCTGAAACTTATGTGTAAGCATCCTGGGATGTTAGTGTAGATACTAAATTGTTCAAATGAAGACCTCTTGGGGAAGGATGTGGTCATCATAAAAGGTATTACAAGGGGAAAATCTAGTAAAGAATGGATGACCAAAGATTCTCAGTTGAGCGATGTGGCCAATGGGCCTCTTGTTTCTTTTCGCTGATAGCGATAACCTTGTATGTAAAACGTTTCTTTATGTAAAATGAAATCATGTTAAAAGGATTTCTTTATGTGCAGAGTGTTTACTTTTGGTATTGGAGATGGCTGTTCAACAGAGCTAATAAGGGAGGTCGCCAAAGTAAGCAATGGAAAGGCCACTTTTGTGAAAGACAATGACAGACTACAGTCAAAGGTAGGCAAGATAGAAGAACATTGATTATATTACCTGAAAAATATAAAAGGAAGATGATCAATAAAGATGCATTTTCTTTACAGAATTAAAAATACTTTTTAATTTTATAATTTTTGCAGAAAAATAACTTTTTTCAAAATAATGAATTAAATTGACAACATTCGATTTACGGCATTTAGGTAATGTCTGTGTTGAAGAACAGTGTACAATGCGGAATTACAGATGTGTCTTTAACATGGAATCTACCTGAAGGTTGTTCTGTTATCAATGCCCCGGAAGAAGTCCCACCAATTTTTCAAGGAGAGAATCTGATTCTTTATGGTATTATATCAGGGGATATTTCGAAGGTAAATGTACATGTACAATGTATTTCATATTTTTACTCAGTAATCGCAAATAATAATAAAAACCATCAACATGTCTGACTTCAGTTTTTTGGCAACTGTTTTCATCTTTATTTATGCAGATTTTTTCATCAAACGTATTTCGTGAGATTTATTTCATTTTTATAAAAACATTGAAATTTATGAACAGCATGCTTCTAAAACACCTTCGATGAAATTGACTGGTAAGGCTGGTGACAAGAATGTGGAGTTTAATGTGGATTTTGACTCGAACATCAGCAAGTCTAGCGACACAGACGAATCATATCCACTTCATAGACTTGCGGCCAAATCCAGATTATCAGAAATGGAAACAAATGATGCTAATGGTAATTATCTTTTATTGAAATCTTCGTTTTTTTCTCGAAAATTTCCCAGAATTGTTAATAGCAATTAAGTGTTTCTGTTTTTTTTTTAATTTTGAAAAAAATTCATCTGACAATGATTCTTTGACAAGACAGCCTAGTAGTTTGGATCCTTGTGTAAACATATTTTGAATAAAAAAAGTCACTTGAATTAATGATTTTCAAAAGACGATATTTTAACCGTTATTTTCTTGTGAAGACAAAACTTGATAATTGATTTCAGGCAATGCATTATTATTATTATTATAATTAATTATCAAAATTGTGACATGTTGTCAACTTTAATTGTTGTTGGACGTCCAAAATTTATTTAGATTATTTTGTTATACAGACTTATGTATTCCATATAGAGAATTTAAAAAATAAATATATTTATATTAATCTAAAATGAAATTATAATTATGCGAAGCAAACGTCAATCTTTTTCAACGAATTAAAAAAATTAAATATGTGTACAGAAATTCAAAAAGTTACATTTTAGAATATGTTATCATAGAAACATTATATTTTTTTAAATAATATAAATAATGATTTGAGAAATATTTGTTTACATGTAAATATTTTAGACATGTACTACAAACATTGATACTATCACTAACAGTTAGAATAGAATAGTTCTATGGTTTTGTTATTTCCAAGTAGGTAGTAAAATAAATTATGTTTCTTAATATTCTTTATCCATAATTGACAATGTTCGAATCCCAGCATTCCAATATAACATACTTCCATGTATATTCAATTGGTAATCATATCCTCCGTTCATGTAATTAACCATTCTCAACCTCTTGAGCCCTCCATCTTATACATATTCATACATGACAGAGAAATAATGTTATGCTGCTCTCTGCTACCACTGTTAATTTATTAATTAACCCAATTTCAATTACATAAAATGATGTAAATCACATTAGATGGTTATGTGAGCCCAGCCTAATTAAAATTTGATATACAATTATGAATATTTGATTATTTATCCAAATAATATGTTAATCAATATTAATTAATAATTCCCATTAATTTTCCCATAAATGATGTAAATGATTGCATAATCTGAAAAACAACTATACCTTGCGGTCTGAAACTGCCATGTACTTGATTAAACCCAATTAATCAAGTTCATATCCCCCCTAAAAATCGTAGAAAAATTTCCAGTGAATTAATTCTCCGGCGTCCTGGAAGAAAGTGACGACCCATTCTATCTCTAAAGAGACGCACATTTAGTTTCCCGCGAAACTATTCTATTGGTTCTATCTTACGGCATTCACATAACTTACATGTACCATATAAGAAGATGCTATTGAAATTAAGCTGGAGTATATCTCAAGAGCGATAACTCCCGCATTTGGGAAAGAAATAAATTACAAATAAGAAAGAAATAATTTACAAGATAAGATAAGATAAGATAAGCTTTATTTAAAGTCAGTATGGTAGTTAAAAAGTAACACAAGCTCTAATGAGCTTTTGACTGACATTTTAAATATATACATAACAGTAAAACAATGAAAACATGCAGCACTATATAAACATAGAATTACTTGCAACAATAC